GATGTACCGATGCAAGAGGTAAGTGCACTCTTCCATCTCAACCCGATCATCAAGAGTTATTCTCAACTGCCCATTAAAATAATAATATGTATTTACGAATAGAAAGTAGCCGAAAAAGGAGTTAATACACGCAGAAGAGGTTTGAGCTGGCAACCTATCCTTACCTTCCCCGTGTAAAACAGGGTAGGTCGAGAATGATACCCGAGCTCTCACCGCTGGGAAGGTTCGTAAAACAGCCTGCTCAATGCGTCTTCTCAGGAGTTCGGTCGCTGCGTATCCTTGTTTGTGAACAAACTTTCGTCGGTAAGGCTATGGTTTGTCCCCCGGGCGTGCCTAATAGTATACATAAGACTGGCTACTGCATTTATTTAAGTAGGCGCTGTTCGATTACGTTTTCTCGGGCGTACCAAATAGGCTTACCCGGCTTGTTTCACCGGCCTGTGCTGACAGTTCGACCATCGGTTTCGATAATGTCCACCGTGTGCCCCACAGTTGCAGCAGCAATGGTAGCAGGGACGGTGACTTACGCAGGGGTTTATAGTGCCGGTAGACTTACGTAGCATCTACCTACACTCTCTCCTCCTCCCTTGCCCGAGCCCGCTGTCAAGACAGAGTCAAGAAGACTGGAGACGAGAGAGGCCGCAGGTGGATGGCTCGGACGGATCCTCACCTTGGCGTTCCACCACACCCCCTGGTCCACACAGCAAATGACCAGGATTTCAACCAATCACAACAGAGATTTGGAGGCTGGCACGGCCGAAGACGCGCCTGGGCGTGCCGCCAACGCCTGGCTCGGATCCCACACTGTGATGGGAGTGCCATAAAGGCCACATTAAAAAGGAGCCATTGCAGCCTGACTCTCAGACCGCCTCCCGTCGAGGAGGAGGTCCAAGATACCCCGCCAGTTGGCAACCTTCCAAGCCACGGCTTTTAGCGCACCGTGATAGCTTCAAGCGCGTCAGATTGTTTATAGTGAGGAAAGTGCGCTGAGTCGTCGACCCCACTCTCCCTTCCCTTTCCCACAACCCATCCGCTGTCCGAGCCGGTCAGCAGACTGGAGTGGGGAATGGGCGCGGTGGCTGTCATGGTCGACTGACCATGACTGCGCGCGCCACGGCACGACCTGGACCCCATACACACACAACACCAGGATTTCACACAACGGGGGTAGAACGGCGTGTCTCCCACTTGCGTGAGATTTCCGTGGAAGGTGCTGCTTCAGCCCGTTCCCAGCCCACCAGTCCGCCACTCCACACAACACACACACAACGTGACGAACTGCGTGAACCGAGAGCGGACGTCAATCAGCAACCTTCCTATCCACGACGCTTGACGTGTCGGGATAGTCTCGGACTCAAGTCACCCGTGCAGCCGAAGCCGCATGGGGACCGAGTCGAGATGCACACATCCCACTTGCGTTGGAGGTGGCAGTTGGGTGCATGAGGTATGTGAGTGTTGATGGTGGTGATGGTGGTGGTGGAGGAGGTAGGGAGTGAGTGACTGTGTGGTGTGGCCGGCGGTTGTCTACCGCAGGTCGTCGTGGATGCGCATGTGGCCGAATAGGCCCATGCGATGCCTGAAAGTGAGAGGACAGTGTGGGCAGTTGAGACGAGCTTGGTGGGTATAGGTGGGTGCTCCAGGCACTGGTTCGCCAGTCTCTGTGCGATGGATTCGCAAGTGACCGACCAGGCCGATGCGTGAGGTGAGTGTGCGTGGACAGTATGGGCATTTGAAGTCGGCGCTGTCAGTGTCAGCTACAGAGGAGGCGGTGGTGGTGGTGGTGGTGGCGCGGACGGATGGAACGAGAGTGGGGGTGTGCACGGTGGATGTGTTGGATGTGGTGGGTGTGTCGGGAGTGCGGTCAAGGCCGCTCTCGTGGATGCGCATGTGGCCGAATAGACCCATGCGATGCCTGAAGGTGCGAGGGCATTGTGGGCAGTGGAGGCGAGTGCGGTGGGTGTAGGTTGGTGCCTCACGCACAGGTTCGCCAGGCTCTGTGCGATGGATCCGCAAGTGACCAACCAGGCCAATGTGTGAGGTGAAGGTACGGTCGCAGTGAGGGCAGGTGTAGTCCTGATCCTCATCCCTGGAGTCGGGGGAGGTGGTGGTAGTGTCGGTTGTTGTGGGCGGGACAGTCGCCTGAGCGGCCGCCGTTGGAGCAGTGGGCGAGGAGGA